TGAACCCCAATCATCAATCCTCCACCTCTGTGCTTGAAACTGGTTCTAAGGTGTTTTTGTTGGGTTTGTTGTTTCAATTAAAACTTTGCAAAATCTGAGTTGTGTACCATTTTGTTTGTTTGTGTCCGTCTTCTTTTAACTGTACTGCCATAAAGGTTGACACTGAGATGTCTAGGGAAATATAGCTTGACTAAAACTGCAGTTTTAAAAGTTGGTAAAGACACGTTATCGGATTTTATTTTCTACACACACTGGAACATACACTGCTGAGAAGTAGCAGCTGTCCTGAATGTTTTTGACTTGTGAAGAGTCTTTCCATTGTAGACTTATGGACTCCAAATATATTTGGAAACAACCATACAACCCTCCGCAGATTGAGGAACAACAACTCTTCTCTGGAATCGTTGCTGATACCCTTCCCACTTGACATAGTTACTTTATAAGTTGTATAATTGTTTGTCTCATACCATTTCAGATGAGCATCCAGGTCCTAAGACTCAGTGTGAGCACCACAGGGATGGTGTTCAGACCTCCAGTCCAGATGGACATCCTCTTGTTGGAGCGTATGTTCCTCAGTGTGATGAACATGGACAGTATCAACCACAGCAGGTTGGACTTTCTTCGCTCATTTTTACTGTGGGATCTCATTTAAGTACATATTCATTATAAATGTAGTGATTATATGTAGATAATTGTTTCTTACCATACTAGTGCCATCGTTCTACTGGACATTGTTGGTGTGTGGACGGTAGGGGACAGGAGAGACCAGGAACTAGGACTCCACCTGGTACACCGCGTGTAGACTGTAGCAGAACAGGTGAGATTGTAACTTGTCAGTACAGTAGTCCCTCGTTCATTGTGGGGGTTATGTTCCGGCCTACCTCACAATGAGTGAAAATCCATAAAATAGAAATTACATTGATTTTGGGGGGAGATCCTCTCCCAGAAAATAAAGTAGATGTGATTTCCTGCATTTTGGTGTATTTCAACAGATTGTTAGGCATCTATGTTTACCTAAATTTGTAAACACTTTGCTTCTGTCAAGCATCCTATCCCTTCCCCCTTACTTGACGGTTCCAAGCCGACTCTTCTTCGCTGAATTCACTGTCCGACTGCACATGTGAAACCTCCAGGTGCCTCCTCCGTCTGTTCATGGCGGCTGCCTGTGGGCACCTGTACACGTACGACTGCTTGGTTAGCCTGGTCGGCAGTCGGCACTCACCCCCACCACTCTTTCAGGGGCGGAGATTTTTTTAAGGGTAGAGGCGGAAATGCTTACTTGAAGTGGCAGCTCGTATGTGATATTAAGAAGTACTAAGTGTCTTCTTTGTTTAAAATTAGTGTTTATGTACCGGTAATTATTTTCAGTTTACGTATATAATATAAGTTTTATTCGTTCGAGGCAGTCACATTTGTTCATAATTTTATTATTAGTAAGCCTGAGAGTTACCGGATCCAAGCAAACAGTTACCGGAACACACCCTGTCAAAATAAGAGCGTTCCCGGACACTGCTCTGGCAGGATCTGGCTCAAATTAAAGGCTAACAAACCCCAATCATCAATGCTCCACCACTGTGCTTGAAAGTGGCTCTAAGGTGTTTTTGATGAGTTTGTTTTGTTTGGTTAAAACTTTGCAAGACCTGAGCTGTGTAACATTTTGTCTGTTTGTGTCTGTCTTCTTTTAATTGTACTACCATAAAAGTTAACACAGAGACCTCTGGGGAAGCATAGCTTGACTAAAACTTCAGTTTTAAAAGTTGGTAAAAAAATACGTTATCAGATCTTGTTTTCCATGAAAGCTGGAACATACACTGCTGAGAAGTGGCAGCTGTCCTGAATGTTTTTGACTTGTGAAGAGTCTTGCCCCTGTAGAATTATAGTCTCCAAACATATGTGGAAACAACCATACAACCCTCCGCAGATTGAGGAACAGCAATAGCTGCTTCTCCGGAATCGTTGCTGATACCCTTCCCACTTGACATAGTTACTTTATAAGTTGTAAAATTGTTTGTCTCATACCATTTCAGATGAGCATCCACATCCTAAGACTGAGTGTGAGCACCACAGGGATGGTGTTCAGACCTCCAGTCCAGATGGGCATCCTCTTGTTGGAGCGTATGTTCCTCAGTGTGATGAACATGGACAGTATCAACCACAGCAGGTTGGACTTTCTTCACTCATTTGTACTGTGGATTCTCATTTAAGTACATATTCATTGTAATTTCAGTCATTATATCTAGATAATTGTTTCTGACTGTACTAGTGCCATGGTTCTACTGGACATTGTTGGTGTGTGGACAGTAGAGGACAGGAGAGATCAGGAACTAGGACTCCACCTGGTAAACCACACGTAGACTGCAGCAGAGCAGGTGAGGCTTTAACTTTAATGTAAGACACATCAGTGCTGATGATTTCAGCATTTTTTTTAGAAGTGTTGCTGTCAGTCTGCAGCATTCAGGGTAATCCTGGTGGTAATGGAGCTTGGCATGGGACTCCATTATAGTTTCTACTCTATATGAGAATTTGTTTAAGTACAGCACAGACTCCCACAATAAGTAATGTCCGGATAATATGATTTATGGTGTGGTACAAAGGTATCAACTTCATTACTGTCCTTATCAGTATAATTGAACATCATCAGCATATTGAAATATACTGGATCCTGGGGCGAGTTCTTTGATATAATTCCTAGAATGTTTGTGCAATACCTCTTGCAAAATTCTCAATGTTTTTTTGTTTTTTTTAAAGCTCAACCAGAACATACAAAAACTTCCTGTGAACGCCACAAGGAAAGAGCACAGGCGACCATTTCAGGTGGACATCCTGTAGCTGGAGCTTATGTGCCCCAGTGTGATGCTGATGGACACTACATACCACTACAGGTTCATAAAGAATCAACAAGTTTTTTTTTTAACCTTGATCATTTATGTGACTTGTCATGGGCTGCAAATACTAAATGCATTTTTTAAATGTTTTAGTGCTACAGCACCACTGGACACTGTTGGTGTGTTGACCAGAATGGACAGGAGAGACCAGGAACCAGGACTCCACCTGGTACACCACCAAAAGACTGTGATAAATCAGGTAACCTATCATATCAATTGTGAGTGATGATTGTAGCAATTATTAGCAGTTTACTGTAGTTACTTGCAGTTCAAATTTTCCCTTAAAAATGTTTTGATAGTTCAGTTCCATCTTCTGAGAGTTTTCTAAAGCTTAGTAGTAGGGGTGTCCTGATATTCGTTGTTGTTGTTTTTATTTTCCTGAACAAGTACAAGTATTTCAGTTTGCCAATACTAAGTACAGACACCTACTTAAACATTACACAATGACTTTAGAAATAATAATTTTATTAGGAACGCATCAAAAACTCTGCTTTCTTAACATCATCTGTGTTTATCTTAAAATATCTCCACACTATGGACAATTTTTTGTCCTTGAATACTTGCAAACTGGAAAAAGAAATAAAGTCACCATGCATAAAAGTGGTATTGGTTTGAAGTTTGGGAATGACTTTATGAGAACAAACGCGAGTACTTGAGGCTGGTCTCAAGCCCAATACCAGTATTGGTATCGGTGAACCACTACTTTGTAGTACATATCCCTAACTTGTTAGTGTCACGCTTTTAGGTAGGTGTAACTGATGAATAAAGTGATTGCAGCTATGATGGAGAGACCAGGGGCTAGATGGTAATGATATAATGATGGATAGGTACAGATGGGTGTGGCAGGCTGACAGGAAAAGTACTGGCTTAAAGGAGAAGTGACTGGTGGAACAGAGAAACTTGGGAAGAAGAGCTGAACAGAAAGGGACAAAACAATGACCCCAAAAAACGGAAAAGACCTCAAAACAGTAAACACAGCTGTCAACAACCAGTATGTGACAGCAGATTCACCTTCAACAGGGAAAACACAGCTAATGGGCCAGAAGTCTTGTTTCTTACCATGTTATTGTTGCCACGAAACAGATCGTCCAAAGACTCAATGTGAGCACCACAGAGACAGCGTTCAGACCACCAGTCCAGATGGGCGTCCTCTGCGGGGAGTCTATGTTCCTCAGTGTGATGAACATGGACAGTATCATTCACAGCAGGTTGGCATCTGTGAAAACTTTACTCGTTGTGCTTATTATTACTCTTTTTATAATATTACATGGCCTTTTAACATTGCTCTAGTGCCATGGCTCCACTGGACATTGTTGGTGTGTGGACAGCATTGGTCAAGAAAGACCAGGAACCAGGACTCCACCTGGAACGCCACATGTAGACTGTGAAAATCCAGGTCAGCGCAAATGTACTCGTGCACAAGAAGAATCTTCAGTTGTTTTGTCTGTTTCTCTCTTTCTCTTACACGCATTTAAACCTACACAGTAGCTTTTTCATAAATCCGATCCGTGCTATAAATTACATGTATGACCAAGCGAACGCGGTAGGGCGAGCTACTGGCTGTTGCCGAGGAAACAAACCAAAACAAGTCCAACCCGCTAAGTTCGATCCTCCCACACAACACACAATCAAATACTTTTAAATCCCCAAACACCTTTTCCGTCTTAACAGCTCAGCTCATTCTATGTTATACTCACTGCATATTTTAATCATATCTGCAGTGTTTTCCAGGAGTAAAAGCTCATTATGATCCGTTAAGTTAGGATTTACGTTTTTTATTTCATTGCATAGTTTCAGCGGATTTAACTCTGAATATATAATCTTTCTGGTGTATTTATGTCAGTACTTTATGCTGCATCAAGTTCTACTTGAAGTCTGTATTTATGTGTTCCCTGCTGAGTGGCACAGCTTTGTGCCAACTGAGCAAAGGAGTCTGAGGGTTGGAGAGTCGTCAAGTGTTTTCTAAACCACTAGGACCCGTAGGTGGTGTGGTTGAAGAATAAATGGAAGTAAAACCAAACAAATCTGGCAATATTCCAATACTGCTGTGGTAATAAGCACTAAAGTAGGAACACAATTAAGGAATTCACCGCAGCTTAAAATTCTAGCATAAATTGAGTTATTTTATAAAGCTTAAAAGTAATACAGTAGTCCCTCGCTATTTGGCGGTTCATTTTTTCGCCGACTCGCTCTATCGTAGCATCGAAGTTGTGTTAAAGTCCACACAGTCTGTGCTGTTACGGCACATTTCATGTCTTATTAGCATATATTGACGCGCTTCAGATGACGTGTCGTGGTGTTCCCCGTCTGTTTTCTGCTTAAGTCATACAAAATAAATTCCTTGAACCATAAGTGGCAGGAGCGTCTGGTCTGTTGTATTTAGGAGATACGAGACGTTAAAAACATCCTTTGCTTCCATTTTTGAAGAGGAACTTCGGAGAGCAGGTACAATGGAAGTCAGTGGAAGTTTGGGTGGACACCATTGGCACTTTGGGGGAATTTAAGAGAAAAATATTGGTCGTATAGCAGTAAGGGACACACTGAGCGAAAGATGACAAAATAACTATCGTACATTTTGATGTAAAAATATAACAGAAGTGTAAAGTTTGGGTTTGACATTATCCTAAAATCTCCAACAAATATCAATATTAAACTGCTATTGTGTAACAAAAAAACTAGAGAAATTGCATTTCCTGCAAAAATGCAGTGTGATCGCTTAATGCAGAAGAACTTGCTGATAAACAGCTGAAATTAGCTAAAAATATGCTGAAATGTAGCTGAAATGAAAGAACAAGCCTAAATTAGCAGAATAAAGAACACATATTTGTTGAATTGGGTTTAAATAAACAGAAATGAGTACACAAATTAGGAAATTAGCTAAAAAAGGCTGAAATTAGCAAAAAAAAAAAAAAGGACTGAAAAGTAGCTGAAAGGCAGAAAGAAGCTTAAACTACCAGAAGGAAGTGGAAAAAGCTGAAATGACCTAAAATGTGGAATTAGCTGAAAGAGCTAAAATTAACATAAAACGGCTAAAAACAGTAGCTGAAATAGCAGAACTAGCTGAAACTAGCATAATTAAGCTGAAAGGAGCATGACAAGATGAAATTAACAGAAATAAATTAATTTAACTGAAAGTAGCAGAATTTACCACAAATAATTAGAATCTAAAACAACTGCAATTGGCTGAAAAATAAATAAAATAAAAAACGCTAAAAACGTAGCTGAAAAGTTAGAACAAGCTTAAATTAGCAGAAGAAAGCAGAACGAACATGTTTGCTCAATTAGGCTCAAAGAAGCAGAAAAAAAGTGGAAATTATCTGAAAAAAAGCTAAAATTAGCAAAAAGAAAGAACAGCTGAAAAAGGCTAAAAAAGCAGAATGAAGCTGAAATTACCAGAACAAAGCCGAAAGAGCACATTTTTGCTGAAATAGGCTGAAAAAGGTTGAAATGAGTGCAAAAAATGTAGAATTAGCAGAAAAGGCTAAACTTAGCATCAAGTGCCTCCACCCTTATTTGCTCACTCTGGGCCCTTGAGCAGCCCACAGCCCTCTGCTCCACACAGAGGGCTGTGGTAGCTCTGTGGTCTGTGGTTGCGTCAGGAAGGACATCCGGCGTAAAAAATAAATAAAATAAATAATTGCCAAGTCTTTGCGCTACTTAGTTCGCTGAAGAAGGGAGAGGCCGAAAGAAGAAGAAAAAAAGTAGCTGAAATAGCAAAAAAAGCTGCAACTTGCAGAAATAAGTTGAAAGGAGCATAATAAGCTAAAATTAGCAGAAATAATCTGAAAGGAGCACAAAACAGCTGGAAAAACAGCTGACATTGGCTGAAAATAGCAGGAAAAAAGGTTAAATTTGCACAAAGAAGCTGAAGCAGAACAAAATGTGAAAGGAGCAGTAAAAGGTTGTAAACACATCTAAAGATCTGAAGGATGCAAAATGAGTTCAGTTCATTTTCTACGAGAAAAAAAAGTGTCAGAAAAGGTTCAATATTTCAAAAAGCTAAAGTTGCACCAATACCAAAAGTCATCGCACCCTTCTCTTTAACGAACTGAACGTTTTGACGTACGATTTGTAGAAATAGCACAAAAACCGTGGAACAAGAACGATGCCAGTTGGATCACTTAGTGTGAACGCTTCGTAAACATTCACACAATAAAACAGCAATTTTAGTCACGTGAACTTTGTATGACGTTTTTAAAGTTAGTGAAGCTTCAGAGCTCTAGAGTTGGGGTTTCTTACTCGTTTCACTAAAAGCCCATTGTTGTTTTGTGCAGAATTATTTAGTATTCTTCGGCAGATTTCCAAAGCTGTGCGTCTCCTTTAATACTCCATCCTGCTCCTCTTCTCAGTCTGGTGGAGTCTGACCTCAGAGATTTATTGCCAGAAGAGAAAGAGCAGTATAAACACGAGCAGAAACCTAAAGTGGTTTGAGTTTTAGTTAGAGAGCTCCCTTCTAAAGCGAGTTATTAAAAGGACTTGAGTCTGGTAAACAGTTTTGACTGAGGGAAGACGTGTGTATGTGGCCCTTTTAACACACACCATTCATTCTCTTCGCTGTATAAACTCAGCGAGCTGGAAAACTGACTGGTGGGAAAAATATTAAAAAGGTCAACACAAGAAGAGCTGGACAAAACTTTTACATGGGCTTCAGACTGGACTTGTGTCTCCTACAGAGCCCAGAGTTCCTACCAGCCGCCCCGAGAGCGTGTGCGAGCGGTGGAGGGCCAGTTTGATCGAACATTACGGTGGGAAACCGGATCCGCAGCAGTATTTGCCTCAGTGCGAGCCAGACGGAGAGTTCAGGTTCGAGTCATACTTGTACGCCACAATTTAAATCGATTCAGTTTAATTCACTCTTGACTACTGCGTTCTCTCAGTCCGGTCCAGTGTTATGGAGAGACCACTTACTGTTGGTGTGTAGACCAGGACGGGCGGGAAGTCTCCGGTACTCGATCACATGACGTCGTCAAACCTGCATGTAGGTGAAAAGTCGCTTTTTTCTTTTGGCTTCATTGTATCGTCACTGATTGTTACGTTAAACCTGTTTCGTTTCATCCAATCACAACCTAGGCCTCCCGTCAGTGACTCCACCCACTGCTCGTCCTTTGCCCCGACCAGATGTCACCCCTCCACCTAACACTGATGTGACCCTACTCTACGCTCAGGGGCAGAAAATAGGAGCGCTGCCTCTCAATGGGACCAGAATGGACGCTTCCCGGTCCAAAACACTGTTGACTCTACACGTAAGATGTATTCCACTGTCTTTGTCTTGTTTTTTTTTTTATTTTTTATTTGTCTTAATTAAAAAGTTAGTTCCAGTAAAATGTTTAAAATTTAAACAAGAATGAAAGATGGTCACCACCAGCACGTCTTCCACTGAGGAAGCAGAACCTGGGGACTTTGGGTTGGGCTCTCCAATCTCTGGTGCTGAGGTCACTGAGGTGGTTAAAAAGCTTCTCGGTGGCAGGGCCCCGGGGGTGGATGAAATTTGCCCAGAGTTCCTTAAGGCTCTGGATGTTGTAGGGTTGTGTTGGTTTACACAGCTCTGCAATATTGTGTGGACATTTGGGGCAGTTCCCCTGGATTGGCAGACCGGGGTGGTGGTCCCCCTATTCAAAAAGAGGGACCGTAGAGTGTGTTCCAACTACAGGGGGATCATGCTTTTAAGCCTCCCTGATAAGGTCTGTTCAGGGGTTCTAGATAGGAGGGTCTGTCGGATAGTCGAGCCTTGGATTCAGGAGGCGCAGTGCAGTTTTCATCTTGGTTGTGGAACATTGGACCAGCTCTGCACCCTCAGCAGGGTCCTGGAGGGTGCGTGGGAGTTTGCCCAACCAGTCTACATGTGCTTTGTGGACTTGGAGAAGGCGTTCGACCGCGCTCCTTGGGGAACCCTGTGGGAGGTACTCCGGGAGTATGGGGTACCAAGCCCTTTGATACGGGCTGTTAGGTCCCTGTATGACCAGTGTCAGAGCTTGGTTTGCATTGCCGGCAGTAAGTTGGGCTCGTTCCTGGTGAGAGTTGGATTATGCCAAGGTTGCCTTTTGTCACTGATTCTTTTCATAACTTTTATGGACAGAACTTTTAGGTGCAGCCAAGGTGTTGAAGGGATCCGCTTTAGTGGCCTTAGGATCACGTCTCTGCTTTTTGCAGATGATGTGATCCTATTGGCTTCATCAGGTTATGATCTACAGCTTTCACTGGAGCAGTTTGCAGCTGAGTGTGACGCTGCCAGGATGAGGATCAGTTCCTCCAAATTTGAGGATATGGTCTTGAGCCAGAAAAGGGTAGAGTGCCCTCTCAGGGTCAGGGAAGGGATCCTGCCCCAAGTGGAGGAGTTCAAGTATCTTGAGGTTTTGTTCCCGAATGAGGGAAAAATGGAGCGAGAGAACGATAGACGGATAGGTGCGGCATCGGCAGTGAAGCGAGCGCTGTACAGGTCTGTCGTGGTGAAGAGAGAGCTGAGTCAAAAGGCGAAGCTCTCAATTTACCGGTCGATCTACGTTCCTACCTTCATCTATGGTCATGAACTCTGGATTGTGACCGAAAGAACGAGATCACGGATACAAACAACTGAAACGAGTTTTCTCTGCAGGGTGGCTGGGCTCTCCCTTAGAGATAGGGTGAGAAGCTCAGTCATCCAGGAGAGACTCAGAGTAGAGCCGCTGCTTCTCCACGTCGAGAGGAGCCAGTTGAGGTGGCTCGGGCATCTGGTTGGGAGGCCTCCTGGACGCCTCCCTGGTGAGGTGTTCCGGACACGTCCCACCGGGAGGAGACCCAGAGGAAGACCCAGGACATGCTGGAGGGACTATGTGTGTGAGAGCTGTGTGAATTGCAAAGGATGCTGGGTAATCTTGTGGGAATTCTATGTGTAATGTTTCTGACTACGATGTTTCTGAGTATGAAAATGGTTTGTTCTTGTTAATGTCCTGTTCAGGTTTGGCACTTATTGTGTCAGTTTACAGCAAATAACAGACTTAAATATGAGTCAGTGGTTGTTGAAGTGACTTCTTTATAAGGGTGACGCCTAGTCTAGCAATGTTTCAGGTAATACATTTGTGTACGCCTTTGGGGAATGGGCAGTATTCAAAAACCAGTTGTTCTGTACGCTCATGAAACTGTTGAAAAATGTGACTTACTGGCCCCAAAGACTGAGGCCTCATGAGACATTTTGACCCAAAGGCAGCAGGAGGGTTATAAAGAATCTAAATTTTGAAGCAGTGTCAACTAGTGTCCACCATTACTTAAACCCAAGGTGAGATCTTGCAATAGTCAGAAAACATACAAAAAAGAAAAGAGGCCGCTGGAGTGGCCAAAGATTAATGTATGGTGGCCAAGGCCACCACTGGCCACCCCCTGGCCATTTCACATGGAGGTGGATTAAATTGTTCCATCGCTCACTCGCCAGGATCCGTCTCTCTGCACCACCAGACGAGAAAAAAGCCCCATCTACCTCTATTATTCTCCACAGTGTAACTCCTAGCCACTTGAATATTTTGTACCAAAAACATTAAGGTTTACTTGCATTCTCTGTTCAATTCCAGTCCTGAAAAACACTCATCTCGAAAACTACAAACATTCACTATTCAAACCACTCAGCGATGGGGACATCGGCGTGTCGCTTGCTTGTAGTTGCAGTCCACTAAATTCTGTATTTGGCTCCATTATAAGCGACCAAATTTATAAAAAAAAAATCACAGCCTATTTTGATGTACCCAGCTTGGAGAACTGTATATAAGGTTGAATACACAAACACAAAAGTATCATACTGGTGTAATGGTCCAGACAAAGTTTAGCCTGTCATCAGATTGAAATACACTGGTGGCACCAAAATCACTTCAGTTTATTGCTGCTGAAAGTGGTCCTAAAAGCCAATGAACCATCAAAGCGTTGATTCCACATTTCGGCATTGCTTTGGCTTTATTTATGACTGAAAACGTTGAGTTGTGTTCTCATCTTTGAGAGACTCAGTGTGAACCAATCAGCCCTCTAAGAGCTCTTTATTAAAACCAGGTGTAAGTGAATACTGACTTGTCTGTAACTCTTTGTGCACATCCAGGGTTCCATCGTTGTGGGCATTGCCTACGACTGCAAAGAAAATCAAGTCTATTGGACGGATTTGTCTGCGAGAACAATCAACAGAGCTTTGATGGTATCTGGAGCTGAGCCTGAGATACTCATCAACTCAAGTAAGACTGTATACCCTTTTTATTGTACGTCCGTCAATAGACAGACGTATTATCATATAGTAATCTGTAAACTTGTCCGGGCCATAACCTATCCGCTCAACAATTTAATGAAACTTCATACACTTATTTATCATCATTAGAGAGTATATTGCACACTTTTCATCACCCAGCTCCAAGGTCAAGGTTATGAATCAAGGTCATAGTTTAAATGAGGTATTTGCTTATCCGGACATTAACTGCTGATCTGCTCAAGGTAATTTAACAATTGTACCACCACTAGATGGTGTTTTGTAATATTTTCATTATCCCAGCTTCAAAGTCAAGGTCACAAATCAAGGTCAAAGTTTATACTGCATTATCTGGCTACACCATTGCTATATATTGCTGTATAACAGTTTGTTGATGAGCATACCATGCGCCGTATGCGGTATTCTTGTTTTTTTTGTGTAATGTATTTTGAACAGTAGCTTCAAAGCTTTCTGCGCTCCTTGCAGATCTCGTCAGTCCAGAAGGTCTGGCAGTAGATGTCAAACGCAGGTTGATGTTCTGGGTCGACTCCTCCCCCGACGTGATCGAAAGTGCCAACTTGGACGGCAGCGAGAGGCGGATTCTGTTCAACACCGACTTGGTCAACCCCCGAGCCATCATAGTGGTTTCATCCACTGGGTAAAGGAGTTCAAAATGCCATTCTTAAAGCGCTCAAACCTAAATTCTGTCACGCGTAAATCTCTCTCACCCGAAACAAACATGCAACCACACACACACACACTTGTTCTGGTGGTGAAGTGGAACATCCTGAAAACGCTGGGACTCTATGACTCTTCCTTGGGGATTTTGTATGGAACACATGGTTTTCTGCTCATTATTCAAACCATAAAAAATCACTGCAGGTTTTGAGTCAATGTCTGCATTTGACACACGACACTTGTTGAGTCTGGTGTCTATGCACCAGACTCAACATGAGTTTTTAGGTGTAGAATGGAAGAAAATTAATGGGTTATTTGCGTTCTTTAGGTAGAGTAGTCCCATTAGTAACGTATGTTTGACATGTCATACAAGCAGTTTTTAGTACTCTCTCTGTGGGTGGCACAAGCAGCCGAGCCAAGACGAATGTCTTGCGTTTATTGATGGCATTAATTCTGAATGATCTGATGAACGGCCGCAGCTAATTTGGGCCTTGTCAGGCTGCTGCCTAGTTGAAGGTTGGTTTGTGCTTTGAGGACTCAAAATCAGCTGATTTACGAGCTAAACCGTAAGATGGAAGTGATTTGAATCGCAGGCCACCTGCGGATTTGGCACTCGTCAGCATGAAACGACCTCGAAGAGGCTCGTAAGCACAGACCAGTAGAATGCACTCTAATCTGGCCATTTCGGATCTTGGAAGTATCAGTACAGACTCAAGGCTGACAAGAAAAATAGTCTGCCTGAGTAAATCAACAATTGTGGCTTATCTGAATCTGACTCCTTGGATGGCCTCAAAACAGGTAGACTTGTCAATTTCTCCTGGGAAATGTGTAAACTAAGGAAAAGCTTTGTCTATCACACCCCATGTCTTTGATTTGACAGTTTGGGCATTTTATTTTCTGACTCCAGGCCAAATATGTGTGTGTTCCGCTAGAAAAGGAATTTTCTCCTCGTATGGTGACGTTAAATCCCACACAGTGAGGCTCTGAAACCATGTGCACGTGCAAAACATCTGCTGCCTGGTATGCCGTCAGATCCATGTGGTGTGTGTTACCTGCCAGTCCCAGAGGGCTGCCACATGTTTGTGATGAAGTATTTTGTATTTTGAACGGCTCTAAACAGTCAATCACGGTTTGATCTTCTACGCAGACACATAGAGTTTGCTGGCTTTTGAGATCGGAAAGTCAATTTTTTGAGCAAACAAATGAATTGAAAAATGCAGTGAGGATGCATAAATAACTCCTCTCTAGTCTCTTGATCCTCATGACTTGGCTCCTCCTCTTGTCCATTGGTCCAAAAATGTCTCCAGCTGCAACGACAAGTTCCTGTACTATCTATAAGTGTGATAAATTTTGCAATTCCTCTTTCCTGTGTCTCCCTGCAGGACTCTGTACTGGACCGACTGGAACAGAGAGGCTCCTAAGATTGAATGTTCGTCTGTGGATGGTCTGAACCGCCGGGTGGTGGTGTCTGATGGCATCGGTTTGCCAAATGCTCTGACGTACGACTTTTCCTCTGGACAAATCTGCTGGGCTGATGCAGGTAAACATGGCTTCTGTTATAATAACTGTGCAGTATGGAATGTAATGGAATAAGATAAGTGCTATGTGTTATCATCATATGTTCCCATACAATGGCGAAATGGGTTCTCTGCATATGTAAGCGCACGGGGAGCAATTAGGGATTGGGTGTCTTGCTCAGAGACACCACAACGTGTGGGAATGGTTGGGGATCGAGCCTGGGACTTTCGGGTCCCAGGTCGGCTGCCCTACCTTTACCCCATCTTTGCCCCCCCAATGTAAAAAGCAAAACAAAACATCCACCCTCCTTTAATTCTGGGGTCTTACATACCAGGACATACCCGGTCTTCGCCAGATTCTAAAATTCTTCAAGTATGACCTCAAGTGTACAAATATTCCCAACAGATTCCATCATGTCAATACTTATTTAACAGAAAGGAAACCAAAATGGAAAAGCTCTGTGTGGAAAAACAAAGTCCAGCTTAGTTCAGCAGCTTGTAGAATCTAGCAGCAATAACTTGACGTTTCCTGTCTGTCCATAAGCCCGTCAAAAGGCGGACGTATAATGGTATGGTCTTCACCCGTTTGTAAACCTTCTCTTGTCCTGCCCAGAACGTCTGATACTCATTTGCATCATTACTACACTGAGTGTTGCGTACATTTTATCACCCCAGCTTCAAGGTCAAGGTCACAAATCAAGGTCAAATCTAAAACAAGGTCTTTGCTCATACTGGATATTGCTATAGATGGCTGTATAATGGTTTGTCAATGGGCGTGTCAGTTCCCCATTTCGTCTCTCACATGGCTTTACAGAATATTTGGCCCTTTCTTCCTAAGTGTTTTGGTTGACTGCAGACATTTATTTCTGTTCAGGGCTCCTTAGGTCCACCACAGCATTACAGTCGGGTTGAGATCTGGACTTTGATTGAACCATTGCAACACCTTGATACCCCTTTTATTTTCAGCAGTCTGTTGTAGATTTGTCAAGTTTGATGATACAGTTTTGTCCAAACTTCAGTTGTTGAGTTCATTCGTAACTAAATTGTCCCTAGATGAGAGTGGCCGTTTCAGTTCTCTGTCCCTGTGATGGACTGGAGACATGTCCAGGGTGTCTCCCGCCCCTCTCACAATGAATGCTGGAGATACGACACCAGCTCCCTAAGACCAGGAAACTTGGTAAAGGAAATGGATGTTTCTGTATACATGAAGTTATTTTGAGATGGTCATTCAAGCTTTTATTTCTTACCGTTTAGACTACAGTAACAGCTGTAATGTTTAGACAAGGAGCTGAACCGTCTTCAGGTTGTCCAGAACTCAGCTGCAAGATTACTAACTCATAAATAAATGAGCTCACATCACTCCCGTTTTATCTTCCATTCACCTTCACGGTTTTAACTTTTAGAGCCTTCTTATATCTCTTGACTTGCTTCAGCTCCATACACCGTCTCACAGGTTAAGGTCATCAGGTCAGTGGTTGCTGGTTGTATCTCGCACCCATTTCAAATCTCATGGGGATCGGTCATTCCAAGCAGTTGCACCCCAACTTTGGAAAGCTCTGCGTCCATCTTTACACCACCGTATTTTCCGCTGTACCCGTCGCTCCGCCCTATAAGTCGCATCAGTCCAAAACATGTCTAAAAAAGTGGAAAAATCCATAAATATGTCGCTTCACCTTATACGTTGCATCTATTATGAGTCACCGCTGACAACCCGGAAATGTGGGCCGGTGTTGTGCCAAAAAAAGATTGGCTGCCAAATGGCGGCTAAGGGTGCACAGGACTTTAACAAGTATTTAACAAGATTAACACTTAAAAACAATTATTTGTTTGCTTGAAATAATAGTAAATGTGTGTCTCAGTCTAAGGTTTGCTTAATAAATGGACTTTAACGCTCAAATCAGCTGCATTTTCCGCAGGGGGCGGTGCAGCTGGTTTGACTTGCTCCATGCAGCGAGCAGAACAAAGGTGGGGGGTTTATGGCAAGCCGAATGAGTCATTAATAGCTGGTGAAGATTCTCAGTCATCCAGGACATGGTAAATTCAAAAAAAGTTCAAGACTAAAACAATAAAGTATAATAAATAAAGTCCAGTTGTTTTTGTCTTGAGCTTTTTTGAATTTGTCATTATAGCCACTTTTACCTATTACACGATACAACGGCATGCCATACTGCTACTACTACTCTGTCGCCATCTAGTGGCGAAAGTGGTACTGTTCTTTTTTCTTCTTCAGTCAGAATGAATGAAAACGGTCATATCTCAGCCATAAATTGGTTCATAAATACGGGGGAAAAATCCATAAATATGTCGCTTCGGTCTATAAGTCACAATGTAAATTACGGAAGAAAAAAAAAACACGACTTATAGGCTGAAAAATACGGTACTTAGATTGTGTTGATGCGTTTAAAAACATCTTAAGACGGTCTGTTATAAACAAGCATTTAGCTTGATGTTGAGTTTTGTTGTGTTTTACCTATGTATGGGTGTTTATCTATTTTGGTGTATGTTCTTAATACTTTACTGCTTCTAGAGTAAAACATCTGTAATGCCATATCTACGAAAGGTGCTATATAAGTAAACTACTTACTTACCTTGATATATATAAAAAAAAGATAAAATACCTTTGAAGGAGAGTTGACTTTCTTTATCCAATGCAATAACGGCTCATACGCGACCGTAACTTTACGCTTTAAAACAACTAAAAACCGTTGCCTCTTTCGTGCAGCTGCCGAACCACAACCTTCAGGGGTCATCATCTTCCACGCTCCGTCCGAACATTTTGTTTTAAATGTAAAATAAAGACGTAAAAGTTCAACGACACTGATCTGCCCTTTTATCGTCGTCCCCCCAGGTACAAAACGTTTGGAGTGCGTCTCTCCAGACGGCTCGGGACGAAAAGTGGTCCACCCGACCCTGAACTACCCCTTCAGCATGGTTTACTACAAGAACCACTTTTACTACACGGACTGGAGGAGGTAGCCGTGTTCTTCTTCCTGTCCGAGTCTGAAACGCTCGTTCATCCACGACGGATCAATAATCGATCGGTGTGCGCTCTTTGACATCTCTTTTTTTTTTTTTTTGGCGTCACAGAGACGGTGTGATCGCGGTGAACAAAGACAGCAGTAAGTTCACCGACGAGTACCTGCCGGAACAACGTTCGCACCTGTACGGCGTCACCATAGCAACCACCTACTGTCTACCAGGTATGGGTTGTGCTTTATTCTTTTTATTTAGGTAAAATATTTATTTGGGTATAAATAAGTGAGAAAAAGATGAACTTTTGTAACGTAGTTGTTTTTTTTAAAACCAGATGTTTACATACACTGTTAAAAGACACAGATCGATTTATTGATTAGACTCGACCTTTCCAGGTTTAGGTCAGTTAAGATTTCCACAATTATTTATATTTGCACAACTCCTGAATAATAAGGGAGCAGATATATTTAAGCTCGTTCCTTTAAGCCTTTAAGGAGTTTGGGAAAGCCCAGATGATGATGATGTCATGGCTTCGGAAGCTTTTGATTGGTCAGTTGACAACACTCGAGTTAACTGGAGGCTCACCTCAAACACGCCGCTTCCTTGTGTGGCATCGTGAGAAGACAGAGACATCAGGAAGAGAATCGTCTGGGTCAGCCTCGGCTACGATTTGCAGATGTCTGAAGGTTTGTCTGTTCAAACAATTATAGCGGAGTATAACCGCCATGGGAACGTCCTGCCATCCCACCGCTCAGGAAGGCGTGCTGTGTTCCTGAGTTGAACGTGTTTTGATGTAAAATGTGTGGATCAACCCCAAACCAAAAGCTAAGACTTTGTGAAGATGCTGCTGGTCCAGCGAGTCCTGGACCAACATCAGGTGAAAAGACACTAAATAAAAGACAAATCGGTTTGTAACAGAGGGACAGAGACCGTAATGTTTGGAGACGTGTCCTGTGGTCTGATGGAACTAAAACTGAACCGTTTGGTCCGAATGACCATTGTAGCCTGAAGACACCATCCTGACTGTGAAGTGTGGGGGTGGCAGCATCATGATGTGGGGCTGCAGGAGGGACTGGTGACCTTCACATATAGATGACATCGCGAGGAAGAAATATGTGGAAATATTGAAGCAACATCTGAACACTTCACGACAATTAATCGAATGAGTGAAAATGATCTCATTTTCATTTATCGGCTTTATCGTTTCCTCTCGTCTCTCTCTTTCTACTGAAGACACTTTCTCTTTAAAATCTGTTTTAACGATCCAAAATCGCATTTTTGAATCGTTAAAAGCAGCTAAGCTACGAGCTAAGCTAACAGGCCGATCTTGGGGGGCACCTCCGTCTTGTCGAAGCTCCAAGTTACGGGTAAAACTCGTGCCTTCGTCTAAGAAGTTGTTTTTCTCTGCTAAAAGAAGCTGAGAACTTGTTTAGCATTTTTCACACAAAGCTTTTAATAAAAAATCAGTAAAGAGCTCAAACCACACGGAGCGTCCGCCATTTTGAGAACTGAAATAAGGAAGGAGAGACAGCCCATGTCACGTCACTCACTCCCATTTTTTTCTTAAAGAGACACGCTGCTCGCTCCCTCACTATC